CTCTAACCTTTAACTGCAAGAGCTTATTTATAAAAAAATATTGTTTTGATATTCACGTTACACCTAATCTTAGTTACGGTTACAAAAAATTTATTGTAACCTACGGTTACAAATTGATTAATCCAAAATAATAATAATGTTAATCTCATTCTTATATTGTCTATGAACAAATAAAGTAACTAATAAAAAGGAAGTCACGCCTGTAACTACAAATCTCTTGGTTTTTTTTTATTTTTATTTTATTTTTTTTTTTTTTACAATTTATCACTATATCGCCAGTCTAATGGTCCTATGTGTGAAGTTTCAAACTTTGTTTACAAATCATGATTTGTAAGAAAGTTTAAAACTCTGCATATATGAGTGACATATCGCTAGGGCAATAAATTATAAAACCCTTTTTGTTTACTTTTTATTTTTATTTTATTTTACCATTTTTAGGAAATTAAAAAGAAGGTATCTAATTTTTGGTTTACAAAATCTCAGTTTTTACATTTTTATTTTATTCATTTATTAATTTTTTATTTTTTTTTATTTTTTATTTTTATTTTTTTGACCATTTTTATGTCAAGTTTACAAACAATGTATTAATTCACCCTGTACCTAAAAGGGTACTTAATAATGTCTTAGATACATCAGAGAAAGAATTTATGCATATAGGTACACAGCCATCAAATGCGATCCAGACAAATTTATAAAGAATTATTTAATTTGACAAAAAATTAATAAGCAAAATACTAAAATAATGATTGTTATTACAATGTATAATGAAAACGATACTTACTTTATTAAAACAATGTCTTCTGTCATCAAAAATGTGGCCTATATTTGTTTAAAAAAAAAGTCAAAAACATGGGGAAAAGAGGATTGGCAAAAAATTGTTGTGTTAATAGTTGCAGATGGTTTTAATAAAATTAATGAATATACTCTAAATGTCCTGAGTCTTATAGATTGTTATCAAGATGGAATTATGCAAAAATATAACAGAGGTAAATCTGTTACTGCACATCTTTTTGAATATACTATACAATTAATGGTCGATAATAGTTTTAATGTCCAAGGAAAATACTATCCCTTAAAATGTAGATAATTCCAGGCAAATTTGCCTGAAAAATTGCTATAAATTTGTTTATGATTTACTTTTTTTAAAATTTAAAATATTTAA